GTTTGTTTGTTTGGTACCAGGGATAGAAACCCAGGGACACTCTACCACTGAGCTACACCCTCAGCCCTTTTTGTTTTTTATTTTGAGACAGGGTCTCCCTAAGTTGCCCAGGTGGACCTTGAAATTGTGATCCTCCTGCCTCAACCTCCTGAGTGGCTGAGGTTATAGGTGTGGGCCACTGCATCCGGCTAGACCTTTGGAGATTAGATCTAATATGGTACTCACATGAGAACTCCTCAAGATACCCTACCCTGTGTGCTTCCTCACCTCTCTCCTTCTCTCATCTGTGAGCACACACACACACACACACCTCCGTTTTCACCAACACCTCAGCAGCCCAGGGCCCCCACCCTCACCCCTCACTTTCTTGAAAGCTCTCTCCTTCTCTCTCTCCAGGCCTTGGCTCAGATCTCACCTCTCAAAGTTCCTTCCTGACAAATTCATCTCTTCCCTCTGCCTCTTCCCTCCACCCCCATCATTGCCCATGACTGCACTGGGTTTATTTCCTTCCAGGCATGAGCCACAAGCCACTACTATTTGTTTCTTGTCCACTTCTCCCGTTAGGCTGTCTAGACCCTCCCTGCCTCCTGCTTAGGCTGTGATTCATCTGAGATATTGTTATAAAATCAAGTTAGAACTTGACACAGAGGGAAGCCATGCTACAGGGCTCCAGCTCCCCCTTTTTACACCTGACCCCACCAAAATTCATGTGTTGAAGCCCTAACGTCCAATGTGGCTGTAGTTAGAGATGGGGCCGCTAACAAAGTAAAGTTATACGAAGATATAAAGATGAGGCCTTGATCTGACAGAATTAGTATCCTTAGGAGAAGAGATACCTCATAAGAGGTGTCCCACCCCACCGTGTGCACACACCTAGGAAAGGTCATAGAGGACGTCCAATGTCAGGAAGAGAAACCCTTGCCAGAAATCCACCCTGCCAGATCTTCATCTGGGACTTCCAACCTCTATAACTAGGAGAAAATAAATGTCTGCCATTTAAGCCAATGCCCTGTGGTATTTTGTTACGCAGCTCTAGCTGACTAAGTCACAGTTATTGTTCGGTGTGTTCATTGCATTCTTCCCATCTCCTGCTATAGCACTAGGACTGTGGCAGGGACTCTAAGCGACAATTTGAATGAATGAGCAGATATTCCCATTCCTAGTGCACTTCAAGGCAGCTGAGAACTGGTCAAAGCAACAGAGCTTGGAACTCAAGAGACCTGGGGTCACAGTTGTCAAATCAGTATCCACTCACTGTGTCTTTTCCTCTCTCTGGGCCTCAGTTTCCCAAATCAGTAAGACAGGACAGATCAACCAGATGACCTATCAAGTTTCCTCTAGTGATAAAATCATAGTAAAAAGGGCTGCACTTTCTGGGACACTGACTGTGACCCAGGAATGGTACTTTTCCCCTTTCTCACTCCTGCCTACAGATACATTCATCATCATGTCACAACTGGAACCCCATGGTAGAGCAGTGGCCTCCAAAAGCAGAGGAGTACTGTCAATATTAAACGTATTCTCCTTCATCCCAAAATTATGTGTGTCCAGCTGTTGAAATACTCTTTAAAGAAATGATGATGTTGAAAATGTCCTTACAGAGAGAAATGAGGATTTGGCCATCTATTCAGCCCCTAAAATTTATTTAGCGATTTGACTGATGCCTGAAATCCCAGTTTTGAACTGCATAAACTCTACACAGGGAAGGAATTTAATTGTTCAGGGTTGCTCTGCCTAGGTATGGTTGAAGAACATAAATAACCAAAGAGCAGCTTCAGTGGTACATTTCAAGAAGCTTGGACCCAAATCAAAGCTTTGCCTCTAGTACTACTGGGTCACTTCAGGCAAGTGAAGTAACCCCTCTGGCCTCAGTCTCATTATCTGTAAAATGGGGGTAACGGTGCCGACCTCATGGGACAAACTTGGGGTAGACTTGATACACATGATTATTGTCATAATGATTATGTAGAAGGAGGAGCCACAGTAATCAGCCACAGACAGGAAAAAATACCTGAGGGAAAAGGGATGGCATGACAAATTCCCATCCTGCTCGGATTCACCAACTTCTAGTCCAAAGGAGTTCATTTCCACCAGCTGGTACAACCTCAGGCAAATAATTTCCTAGCTCTCTGCTTTGGTTCCACTAAAAAGCTATGAAATGTAGCAGCATTCACAATAGGTATATGAAATCAACCCAGGTGTCTATCAATGAATAAGTGGATGAAGAAAATGTGGTACATACACACGGAATACTATTTAGTCATAAAAAATGAAATCTTGTAATCTGTGGTAATATGGACATGATAAAGTTAACTGAAATAAGCCAGGCACAGAAACACAAATACTGCACAATATCATAAGGATGTGGAATCTGAAAAAACTGAGCTCATAGAAGCAGATAGTAGAATAGTGGTTACCAGAAGCTGGAGAGGGTAGGGGAGAAGGAGTGATGGACAGAGATTGGTTAACAGGTACCAAGCCACAGCCACAGAAGACAAATATGTTCTGGTATTTTGCTACACAGAAGGGTAATTATAGTCAACAACATTGTATAATTCAAAATAGCTGGAAGAGAGGATTTTGAATCTCTCATCACAAAGCCATAAATATGGGAGATAATGAATAACAAATTAAATATCCTGAATTGGTCAACACATGATATATAAATGTCTCAACACATCACGCTGCACCTCATAAAGATGTACCATTATTATGTGTCAATTAAAAAAAAGGCAGGGACCAATTACTCTTACCCAACAGAAGAGTGGAACACAAATTTCATCCCCTATCATATTCCATGATGTATTGAGAAACATGTGAAGGCTTAGATTCTACGGCCTCTTCAAGCCTCAGTCTCTTTGTTCTTTATTATCTTCCCAGACAATCTGATACACACCAAATTTCAAAACTACCATGAAAGAATGAGAGAAACAAGACTCTGATAATTCAAGGAGTCATACAATCATTATCATTATTTAAATTCCACTTGTTCCCTCCTCTACGAAGCTGTCCAATGGAACTGTTATCCTTACAGAAATTGCACATATGCCTCACCCCAGGGAAGCTAGGCCTGCATCTCAACATGAAAGAGCACCCTGACCAAATCCCTCCAGTCCTTGGGCTCTTTGAAGTCATCTGCAGTTTAGTACCCACTTCACAAAGGGGAAAATGAGGCTCAAAGAGGGAAAATGTTCCTCCAAGGCCATGATAACTTCATGATAAAGTCACAATGAAACCCAAGGTGTGGGTATCTGAGTCAACGCTAGAAGGGCTTTAATGTGGATCTCCCACCCTGGGAGAAACCCTCTCACCTTTCACCTTTCACCTGACCTGTGGTTTGTTCAATAAGGTGAGGGGTCTACAGTCTCCTTGCCCTCCAACAAGTTTCCTTTGTTCTAATGATATGTGGAAAAGCCCCCGTCCATAAGCTCCTTTCCAAAAGGTTTGAAGATTAACTTAAGGTTCTTCTCAACCTGGGGAAGAAAGCAAAAACTAACCCATGTTCAAACATCTCCAGCTCTGAGGCGGTCTTATTTCCCTGATCCTGATGCTTGAGCAGGCACAGAGGTCCATCAGTGAGATGAGATCTAAGATTAGAACCAGATTGTGGAATCTCAATTGCAGGTCACAGAACACAGCCTGCTACCCCACAGACCAGGAATAGTGCTATATAATTGTTCCAGACAAGGGAATGGGGGACCTTCCACAAACCACAGCAAGGGTTTTAGTTGATTCAGGGCAAGGAACTTGAAGGGTGGGGTCAGAAGTGAAACCAAGGGGTCAGTGTGGTAGTCAAAGCTGCAGACTACAGACACAGAAGGACCTTGTGGAGTTCAGACTCTGCCCTGTACTAGCTGTGACCCTTGGCACACTCTTCTTTGCCTCTCTGAGCCTCAGTTTCCACATCAATGAAAACAAAATAACAATGCTACCCAGAGAAATAGTCAGGTTTTGAGGAACCTGAGGCTTATATTATTGGGGCTGGGGAGAGGGGCAGGAAGGGGTGGGGAAAAATACAACTTCAAAATTGCATATGGGATCTTGAAAAGAGTCCCATGTAAGGGAGGGACCCTGAGAAATCTATGTTGGGTCTACCAGTTAGCAGTGAGATATTTAAATAAAGCTCTTGGCACATAGTAAGCCCTCAATAAATGTTGGTTTGGAGAATGAGATGATGGGGGGAGAGTGGTCTGGCTTGAGTAAAATGCTATAATTTTGTGGGTTCATCTGCACCGAGCAGAGATAATGACAGAGAAGGGAATCCCAGAGAAACTCGCAAGACCCTCTTTAGCTGCAGAGTTCTGTCCTGAAGGTTATGTGTGACCTTGGGCAAATCACACCCTCTCCTGGGACCCAAGACTGACTGCTAAAAGGCCACTGGGAGTTGTATAATCTCTACCTTTTTTCCTCATTCCAAAAAATATCTGGCCCTCTCCGTGGAGCCTCTTAAAAGCAATGAAGCAGTTGGGTGAGCCAGCGAATGTTCCTTTTCTTTCCATTTTAAGAAGTGGGAGCTCCTAGATGGAATATCTTAGCAGCGGACTGAGGAGCCTAGGAGAAGGGGAGACCCTACCCTGAGATGCAGAGAAAGGGATGGGAGGTATTTTCTTGGAGGCAGAAACAGGCAATTGGCTAAAACCCTGACAAATTGGGCTCTGGTCTCCATTCTGTAACTTTCTGGCATGTGACCTCAGCCAGATTCCTTTACTTCAAGAAGCCTCAGTTATTCAATTTACAGGATCAAATGGGGAAAAAAATAGCTAAGGGTGTCTCTCCCTTGGTAAAGTGTTTAATACCTAGTTAAGCGCAGGTTTTGGAAATCACTGTAGTGCTTGTTCCCATTACAGTTATGGGGTAACACCAACAAGCGATCCTGACCCTACTCCCTTTCCAATCCCTCCTTTCTTACTCCTCGGGGGCGTGGCTCCTCCTCCACCGGCTTCTTCAGGCGGGAGGAGGAGGCACCGGTCTCTGGGGAAGGTGGGCGGGGCCTTGCTCCAGCTCAGCAGAGCGCGCCAAGGCACAGCCACTGAGCAGGGTCTTGCACCTGCACCAGACACCTTCCCATTTGATTCCTTCCAACGTAAACCTCCTTATCACCCTGAGCTCCCCCTTTCTGAAGCAGTCATGGCTGTGGCAAAGAATGTCAGGGACCTCCAGGGAGCTGTTTCCCTCAATTTGGACCTTAGGTCATCTCCCCAAAGTACCAAGAACCTGCAGAACAAGGACTCCGGTTTCTTGGATGTAAACTCTTCAGAATCCACGGATTTGGACAAGACCAAGGGCATAACGTGAGTGCTGTTTTCTGTCAGCCCCATTTCTGCTGTTCAGCCTGGAAGCTTGAACATTGGTTAAAAACCTGGAGGTGGGTGTGTCTGACCTTCAACCCATTGTGCAGATGGGAGAACCAAGACTGTTAGAGGCTTTGTCAGATGAGAGCTTAAAGGGGAAGGAGTGGAGTCAGAAAAGCCCTTAGGGATATTCATGGGGAATGAAGGCCCAGGTAGCCCAGGCCACCCATGAAGTAAGTCATTAAGTCATTAGGATAGGGGCTGGTTTTACTGTCAGTTTTTGGTTAATGAGGGAGACAAGATCACTAACTTCTTGGAGGAGAGAAGGTGAAACCTGAGCTTAAAACCATAATGGCCCCACCGAGAACTAAGCATTGCTTCCTTTCTGTGGTAAGCCTGGCCTCTTCTTCCACTGGGAATTGCGGGGAGGACACCAAACTCAACATGGGTGGCAGATGCTCCTTTCTTCCCTAGGGGTGAGGAGACAGGGTGGGGGGCAATATTCACAGGCTTTCAGAACTTGACACAGAGGGAAGCCATGCTACGGGGTTCCAGCCCCCCCTTTTCACACCTGACCCCACAACAAATCAGTCTAGCCAGTTCACTTAGGGAAGTGCAGGGGTAGGTGGTGGAGGGCTCCTGTGCTTTAAGAAAAAAGTCTGGACACCATTGGGGTCCTAGGGGGAGCAGTGGATGGACAATCAGAGTTCATTCTAGGTTTTTTACATGCAAAGCTGGGGTGAACAGGTGGCAGTCTGAATTGAAGGACGATGTCCCTGGAAACTATGAATGAGGAGGATGGGGGTGTGCAACAGAGAGGAAGAAGTTACTATAATGGAGAGAAAAAGCCTCTCTCCACAGCTACCCTGCAGGGCAGCTCAGGAATGGACACTATGACTGGCGCTGGCGTGGTTCAGTTATTTTGGAGCCAGTCCTGGGGGTTGCTTGGTATTAGTGATCCTAAGGATAAATGTTCAGGCCCTGGGGTTACCACTGCAGAGTAGGGATATTTCTCAATCAAGGGCCCTGGGGGAACCAACTGACTCTGTGTCCTGAACTCTGGTGGCAGTTTTAGCGACTTAAGAATCAAAGGACAGAGGAAGGGGACCAGGAGGAGGCAGGAAGGGAAGCATAGGGGAAATACTAGATAACAATATTGACCGAATTATATTGCTATATTGCGTGCGTGTTTGAATGTGTAACACAAATCCCACTACTATGCATAATTATAATATACCAATAAAAATATGGGGAAAAAGAATCAAAAGAATAAAGCAAGTGAGAGCCAGAGGGGACCTTTTGGCTCGGAGAGAAGAGATATAACAGGCTGGGTAAGCGTGACACTTATGGGCTGGCCCCTTGGGTTTGAAGTCCCACTTTGCTGCTTCCCAGCTTGAGCAAGTGACAGAACTTCTCTGCCCCGTCTCTCGTCTGTGAAATGATAGTCTGTACCTGCCACACAGATGACATGAGCCTAAAGCTCCCAAGTGCAGGGTCCTAAAAGCTTGCTAGCTTCTGTGACTATGATGGTGGTCCAAGGTCATCAAAGGAGTCAAGGATAGAACCCAGGGCTCGAGTTTGGGCTCCCAGTATAGGGCTTTATAACATGTTTGTAAGTTGGCCGAATGGCTGAAAGCTAAATTCTGATTTCCTAAGTCCTTTAGTTAGAAATTTCCTAAGTGACCTGTTGACCCTTTCCCGGTTGCAAAACAAGCCCATCACTGGGGGCCACAGGGAATAGTGCTCAGTCAGCGATGTGGACACCCACAGGGAGAGGGAAAGGCACGTGGAGACTCTCCACCCCCTTTCTCCTCCAATTGTTCTCACTAACCCTTGACAAATCAAGGGCAGATTCTTGGGAAGCTAAAGGATTTAGGAGTTTAACGTAGAGACAGGGGTGTTTGGGGAACTTCTTTCAAAATACCATTACTCCTAACATTTGCAGAAGCTTAGCAAAGTTGAACAGGTTGCTAAGATGATGTAGCAGGTTAAGTGGTGGCCTTAAGTTTTAATCCCTGGTTTGTCCAATTCCAGAGACCAGGTTCCTTCCAGAATCCCTCTGCTGCTTTTAAGGGCTTCTCCTGGCTGGAAGGCTTTTCTGGGGAATTTCCAAGGTTCCTAAGGTTATCGATATAACCCGGTACTCATCCTGATTTCACCAGGTCCAGTGTAAAGAGGTGTAGCAGTAGGTTTGTTACGTGATTCTTCAGGAGAGAGGGCACCTGCCTAGAATTTTTTTCCCTGCTGGTTCAGACCTTGTCCTCTGGACCGACCTTTAGATCTCTGTCTTAAAGAGTGGGAGTTTTTTGCTGTTTTGTTTTTGTTTTTAGGGGAGTTGGGGGCATGACATTTTCCAGCCTTAATGCCCTGGGCAGAGAGAAAAAAAAAAAAAAACTCTCCGGAGATCAATCCCCAAATGACCCAAGTCATTTGACATATTTATTGAGACGTCACCATGATTTCTTTTTCCTTCCTGCCTTTTTCTCTTTTCTTGGAGTTCAGTCCATTCTCTACCACTAGTTTATGGCTTCAGTTCCTCAGAGAGGAAATGGCTCTCAGGCTGTCACTTCTTTACCCTCTGTCTGACCTTCTGTCTGGGAGGCCGCTCAGCAAAAGTGAGAGTAAAGAACAGGGACTCTGAGGTAGTCTTGGGTTTTAACACTAGCTCCTCAATATATCCTTGGACAAGACATTTTTTAAAAGTCTCTGCCTCAGTTTCCCCCTCTGCAAACTAAAGATAATAGCAGGGCTGGGGATGTGGCTCCAGCGGTAATGCGCTCTCCTGGCATGCGCAGGGCGCTGGGTTCGATCCTTAGCACCACATAAAAATAAAATAAAGATGTTGTGTCCACCGAAAACTAAAAAATGAGTATTAAAAAAAGAAAAAGATAATAGCAGTACCTATTTTATAGTCTTCACAAGATGATTAAATGAGATAAATACAGATAAAGTACTTCTCATAGTGTCTCTTATAGCATGTGTTGTAATGGCATACCGTGAGCTGCTAAAATTGAGACAGTTGTGGAAAAACTGAGGTAGGTGGTTACCTTACAGGAGACTCAGACATGCCAGGCAAGGATCCATGACCTGAGAGACGGCCCAGAGGCCACCAGCCCAGCTTAACTCAGGTGTCAGTTGGCATGCAGTCAGGGAGTGACTGCTGGCTTCCTCCCCTCCATACACATCCTCACATCTCCTTCCTCTCCTTTAGAGGGTTCCAGACCTTGGTTCATGTGTTGAAAGGCAACATGGGCACAGGGATCCTGGGACTACCCCTGGCTGTGAAGAATGCTGGCATCCTGGTAAGAGAGAAAGCCACGGGTGGGACCACGTGGCCAGGTAGTAGGATGGGAGGAGAGAGGCACTCACCATTAACAACAGCCTCAGGTGAGCAGCCTTCTGGGAGGTGGCTTGGTACAGACTTATCATCCAGATGCCTAGTTCAGGCCTGAGCTCTGGCACTGCCACAGACTTTAGTGTCTTTGGCAAGTCATTTGTCCACTCCCTGGGCCTCAGTTTCCTCCCTTGTAGAACATACAGGTTGAACTATGGACTGGTTTTTCAGCTGTGCTCTGTGGAGTCTAGGTCTCCTTGGAGATGCCTCAGAGGCCATCAAGGGGACATGTGGTCATGATTCTGGTTTCCCTACTTCCTGCAATATCCCAGTGGAAAGGCTTTATGAACTTTATTGGGCGACCACTTGAGACTGTATTTGAAAGAACGGCTGTTAATGCTAAAAAGCCTTGCAAACCAGTTTGCTAGGAAGTTCTTCGTGGTTCTTAAACTCCCCAATTGCTGCTCACAGTGTCCTTCATAAATTCTCTCTCTTGCTCTGCTCTTTGTCGCCCCTTCCTCCAGATGGGTCCGCTCAGTTTACTGGTGATGGGCTTCATTGCCTGCCACTGTATGCACATCTTGGTCAGGTGTGCCCGGCACTTCTGTCACAGGTGAGAAAAACAGCATCCCAGAAACATCCTACACATAAGAAGTAAGAGTTTACTTCTTAATTTTTTTTCCCAATGTGGCCAAAAAAAAAAAAAAAAAAAGAGGAGCATTTAGGGGCAGGGACCTGAATGAGATTCTGCCATAGAGTCAGTTAGATGATCTCAGGCCATTGTGTTTATGTGGTTGGCTCACCTGCAAACTGGATATAAACAATCCTTGCCTAACCTTGCCTTGGAGAATTGTCATGAGGATCCAATGGAATACATGGGCATGGAAACTACCGTACCCACACAAAGTCTTTATTATTATGCTTGCTATATAGTAACAGCCTTATTTGACAGGAAAGGAAAACAAGCCACCACAGAATTACTGCCAGGTGTCAAAGTATAGGACTTAGATCCCCACCCCAGTATTCTCTCTACCCTTTTGATGAGTTCTGTCTTGTTCCACATCTCCTGATTGGTGAGTATGTGATCTTAGGTTAAACCATCTCTTGCAACCGTGCTTGTGTTCTCTCCTCAGGCTCAACAAGCCCTTTATGGACTATGGGGATACCGTGATGCATGGACTAGAAGCCAGCCCCAGCACCTGGCTCCAAACTCACGCCCACTGGGGGAGGTATCTTGCTTTTGCTTGGTCTTCTGTAGTTTAGGATATAGGAGGAGAAGATGCTGCTCTTAGGGGTACCTTCTTCCCTGGAAAGGTGATTCATGTGGGACAGAATGTCACAGGGAAAGAGTTCATTGATCAGATCCCAGATCTCACTCCTTGCATACCTCCAGTGATAGGGTACTCATTCGTTTTTTATGCAAGTCTAATATTATTCGCTCTTTTATTAAGCTACATATTATCCTGTTGTTCCTACTTCACGGACCCTGGAAAGAAATACCATGAGGAACAAGGCAAATAAGAAGGCTTTTCCCTGCAGAACTCAGAGTCCAGTGGAAAAGGCAGAGACTAGAGAGCCTATCTACTGGGATAAATATGATAATGGAAAGAAGTACTAGCTAGCAGTTAACAAATAAGGATGTGTGTGTGGATCAGGTGGGGGGCTTCCTAGGCTGGAACAGTTGAATGGAGTCCTGATGAAGGCAGTCCTGAAACATAAGGAATTTCTCAGGGGAAGTAGGCAGAGGCCTGACGACCTTCCAGGAAGAAGGAAGAGCAGGTGTGAAAACTCAGAAGCAGGAGGGTGTAGGCAGCAGTTTTAAGGTCCAAAAAGACCAGGTAGCTTGAGGTGAGAGAATCAGGGAGGTCAAACAGAAGAAGGAGCAAGGTGCTCAATCAAGTTGCACATTTCAGACCCTTTTGCAGTTTTGCTCTTTTTGTAAAGGCAAAGGGACTGAACCAGGGAAGTAGTCATATTTGCACTGTTTTAAGTACCGTCTGGCTTCTGTGAGGAAGGCAGGTCAAAGGGAACAAGAGTAGACAGACTCCCAAAGAGGCTGTTGATAAAGTCCCAACGAGTGGCAATGTGGCTGCACCAAGCTGGTGGCAATGGTGATGAAGAAAGTTGATCATGAATCGCCTCCTGGGATTGAGAGAGAAGGGAGATTTCTGATGACTTCTATTTTGGACAAGCTGGGTTTGAGATGCCTGAGAGACAGTCAGGTAGAACTGTCCAATGGGTCTGTACAGATCTGATCTGATCTTCATGCAGGAGAGACAAAATTGAAGTCATCAGCCATGAAGCTGGGGGCAGAAGAGGTCTCTTAGGGAGAGGATATAAAATGAAGAGAGAGAAAAAGACCAAGGCGCTAAGGATCCTTGTTGAGCTAACTCTTCTCTATAAGTCCACCTTTTAGCTCTCAGGAGTGACACACATGAGTCGACACCCTTTGTCCTCTGGTACTTGGGACTAAATCTATTCCTTCATCTTTCTTTGCAGACGTGTGCCTTTTCCTCTTCTCACCCTGTGAACTTTCCGACATGGGTCTGCCTCCCTAAGGTCTTATCCGTTATCTACAACTGAACAGTTCCAGAACCTCAAGCGCAACAATTCAGATACCGAATGTGTCATTAAAAGTTTCTTCCCTTTATCCTAAAACTTGTTCTGAGTTTCCGCATTCATTTTGCCATCCAAGTCAAAAGTCTGCAGAGCACCCTAATGTCATTTTCTCCCTCATCCCCAGAAGTTGGTGATCACCAAGTTCTAGAAGCTCTGCTTTCCTGGTATCTTTTCAAATGCTCGAATTCTCTAATGCTAGTGGACATGTCTTTGTTCAGGCTGCTGCCTCCTTTCACCTCCACATATGAAAGAATTTCCTACCCAGTCTCTCCACCCATAAAAAAAAATACTGCCCCTCCAGGGCCCTTTGCACAAGGAGGCTAGTGAACCTGCCTGCTCCGCCTACTGAAATGCCCTCTCCTCATTTCCTGTCTTCCTCCTGCTCTACCTCTCCCTCCTCATCTCCCTCTACTTCCGGTTGCTGTTCTCTTTCTTCTTTCCTTCTTTTCCCCCTCTCTCTCTTTTTTCCACCTTCCTAAGGGACTCTTGCTCATATATTGTTTTTTTCCTAAGAAGGTTTTCTGGCTGCCCATAGTTTGGATAAAGTGTCCTTTTTACCATGGTCCTTAGTCTTGTATTATGATATTACCTTGTGTCTATAGCACCCTTTAGCCTATGTACCACCCGAGGAAGGGACCCTATGTTGTTTTTCTGCACATCTTTGGTACCTTCCATTGAGTCTGGCCCGTGGTAGGAAAAAAATATGTTAAATGTTAATGGTAGCTAATAAAAAACATTGTGTTTACTGTTGTCCCACATCAATAGTAACAGTGGGGTGAGGAATGTCGCAGAGCCTGACTAGGGTGGCAGGGTGGAGAGGCTCTTAACCAGGAAGAATTTTACTGCTCCCTGTGCTGAGAGTGTGAGGGTATTAGAAAACCACTTTTCACAAAGAACTATTGTTACATCACTTTTTACTGCCTCGTTGTTGATTGTGGTAGAAGGACCGAGGGTGCTGTTATAGGACCACCAACCCCTGGGGACAGGGGACAGAATGGCAAGAAATGGAACTGCAAAGTTTTATGATAACAAGCCCCTGTCTCCTCTCCTCTCTTCTAGGCATATAGTGAGCTTCTTCCTCATTATCACCCAGCTGGGCTTCTGCTGCGTGTACATCGTGTTTCTGGCTGAGAATTTAAAACAGGTACAAACTTCTAGGGAAGGTGGAAGAGGAGAGATGTGGAAGAGGAGGCTTTTCTGCTAGTTGTTTAACAAATGCGTTCCTCTGAGTCCTAGTGTCTTATCAATACAACACAGGAAGTGAATCTAGGTATTATCCAAGAACCTGACCTCCCCCGGTTCACAAATCTGCAGATTTCTGTGTGATGACCTTTGCCACAATACCCTTTGCCCCATACCTTGGACCTGTCCTCAAGGTTAGTTTCTAAGATGCTGAGCTGGAAAAACCCTTGGAATTTGTCAATTCTTCTACCTTGGAGTTTAATCATACTGAAACGCTTCTCAAGTTGATTTGGATCATGTCTGGTGGGGTACCTGATCTTGCTTGGGACATCTTTATATACTGTTAGCTACTTGATCTATGGTTAATGGTTATTTTTCCCAAGAAGTCCTTCTGATCTAACCCAGATGTTATCTTGCAACAAATGGAGCAAAATAGTGTAGGTAACATAAGTTAATCAATGCACTTAAAAAAAAACCCTGTTCTTTAGAGCTCTTTTTCTTATTTATTGTAGTAACACCAGAAACTTAGAAATATGAAAAAGTTAGAAGAGAGAAAAAAAAACAGTAAGCATTTAGTTAGCTTTTATTAAGCATTAGATACATTGCTGGAATTTTTACATGATTTCCATCATTTATTTCTTCCCTTGACCTTATCAGAGTAAACACTATGATTGTTTCTCTGCCATGTGCTCCAGTGATTTGTCTTGCTATAGGCCCAAGCAACGGGGCTAATTTACTATGGACTGGAACCTCCAAAACTGTGTGGCAAAATAAACCTTTCCATCACTATAATAAAAGTTAATTATCTAGCTTATTTCATTATAGTTGTGGAACTGAGCATGGTGGCACACTCCTATAATCTCAGCTACTCAGGATGCTAAGGAAGGGGGATCTCATGTTCAAGGCCATCCTGAGCAACTTAGTGACACCCTGCCTTATAATAAAATAGAAAGGGCTGAGGATGTAGCTCAGTGGTAGAATGCTTGCCTAACATGTACAAGGTCCTGGGTTCAATCCCCAGTACCGAAAAAAAAAATAAATATATTACTTAGTCTAAGAGTTGTTTTGAAATCTCCTAAAACACATTTCCAGATGGCTTTTCAGAAAGCAATATGATTTCTGCAGACTTTTATTATCTGCATTTATTAATCAGCTGCTTTATTAGGAAGGCAAGAACTGTCTCAAATTTACAGGCAAAGTGGGGTGTGTTCTAAAATATAAAACAAATGTCAGTATGATATTTTAGTGCCAGGTCAGCATACTACTAACAATATCCTGAGGTCAAGAAGCTTCATTGTGAGCTGTATGCAGGGATCATAGGATCAGGGAAGGCTAGCTCCATGGGGGTGCATCAGAGCTGAGCATTCAAGGGCAGCAGGGAACACAAGTGGGGACAGCCAAGGTGGGAGAAGGGATGAGTAAAAACCTAGAGGCAGGATATAGGGGACTTGCTCAGAAGAAGCAGTAAAATTGTTTTTAAAAGAAAGTGTCAGTATGGGAGAGGAAGAGTCTTGAAGGTTGACCCGTTAATAAAGGGCCTTAAATGCCAGGTTAATCTTCCAGGTGTTTTTCCTACTGTAGTGAGGAATCATTTTTTAAAAGCAAACAAACAAGATTTAATGATTCACATTTATGAATCCACAGTGTGTACCTCAGTGCAATGAGAATCTCCAAGAGTTTATTGTGATTGACATCTTATAAAATAAAAAGATGTGTATCACACAAATAATTTATGAGATTTCCTATAAAACATATAGAGGAATGTATTGCAAGGTGTTATCATGACTCTCCGTGAGTACTGATCTTAATTTTTTTTCTTGTTTAACTCTGATTTCTAAGGGTTCCACAGTGAATTATACTGTTTGCACAATTGTATTGTATTGTTTGCTTCACATAGGTCATGTTAATTCTAAACCTAATTCTAATCCCTGACTTTACTAGGAAGGTATATATACTACACACATAAACTGTGGGGGATGTGTTTCTTGTTTGTTACAATGGTTGGAGGATAATAATAGCTTTCATTAGGTGGGGTTCAGGAATGTTAAATGTTCTACAATTAATAGTTCATCCACACAAGGAAGAGTTCTCACATTCAAAATGCTAGTGTTGGCTGGGTGTGTTGGCACACGCCTGTAATCCCAGTGATTCAGGAGGCTGAGGCAGAAGGATCACAATTTCAAGACCGCCTCAGCAACTTAGTGAGACCCTATCTCAAAATAAAAAATTTAAAAAAGTTCTGAGGATATAGCTCAATGGTAGAGTATCCCTGGGTTCAGTCTCCAATATTAGTCCAATTGTAAGTATTGGTCCAATTAGGAGACAGTAAGTTTATGGGTTAGTTAAAAAAATAGTAAGTGATGAGTCTTTTTGGTTATAAGCCAAAAAGAGATTCTGGGGAAATTTCAGCAGAAATTAGTTTAGTGGAAGGATATTAGCTAATTTACAAAATGACAGAGAAGGTTAAAACACAGATCTAAGAAAAGAACAGAAATCAGAGCAGCTAGGAGAGAGTAGATAGCAGAACTAATAAGCAGTCTCCACAGGGATTCACTATCAGAGTTAATTTTTACCCATTCTGTTCTTAGATAACTGGATTAAGATTTAGCTTTGGATTCCTGGGAGAGAATCTGAACGCCCTAGCTTGAGTCAAAGGCCAGTCCCCTAGCTCTACCATGCAACTGTGATTTATGGTCCTCAAAGGCTGCCTTCAACGGCAGGAGAGAACTCACCACAAATAAGTTGATAACAGGAGGAATGGGTGCTGGGTTGCCAAGAGCCAAGAAATACCTCTATAAATCCAGTTATTTGTTATTAAAAAATTTTTAAGTTACTTGTATAGCCTCCTTGAAGGAAGTATGATACAGAGAATTTAGAATTAGAAGCTTTAAATTCAACCCAACTCATGGAGACACTCCAAATCTTTGTGAGGGAGTTTTATTGTGGTCAAAGCACTGAAGTAATGGTGTGGTCCAAAGATTTATTTTCTCCTCTTTTCCCCATTCCTTCCTCAGGTAGTGGAAGCTGTTAACAGCACAACCAACAACTGTTATAACAACGAGACAGTGATCCCGATGCCCACCATGGATTCGCGACTCTACATGCTTTCCTTCCTGCCTGTCCTGGTGCTGCTGGTCTTCATCAGGAACCTCCGGATCCTGACCATCTTCTCCATGTTGGCCAACATTAGCATGCTGGCCAGCTTGATTATCATTGCCCAGTACATTGCCCAGGTTAGTGTGTGCCACGTGCCAATGCCTGTGATTTAGGGCCTTTGTATCAATGACAGACTAAGCTCTGGAGATCTAGGGCCTACCCCGGGGGTGGGGTAAGTGTGTTTCTCACTCTTCAACCTGGGACCCCCCTTGTTGTAACATTTTTTCCACAACCATGACTCTGTGCTATCCCAAATCTTCTCATTCATGTTTCTCCGAACAACTGTTTTTATGTCAACTTCTGGCTTTAAAAAAAAAATTATACTTGCTTTGTAAGGAAAACATCTTGATTGTTAAACTATAGACCATTCCTATGATTGGGTAGCAAAAGGCAGATGAAAAACAGGTGCTTCTACCATAGTTTTATAGCCTCTGGGCTAAAATTCCAGGCACCTAAAATTACTCCCTAGGGAACACTGGAGAAAAAGTTTAATATTTAGTCACAGAGCTATAAAAGTGTCCAAAAAATAAGCAAATCTATTATGATGTCAATGACTGTCTTTGACACTTGTTGAATTATGGATATTGATTTTTCCCATCAATTTCCTTACTTCCTATCCTATTTGTTTTTTATAGTTGAAAACACTACATTGAAATTTAAGTCCCAGAAATCCTTTGGCAGACCCAGTAATTTTCAGATGGTTTTTCTGGGAAGCTGTAAGAGAAAATAAAAATGATATTGTCTATAGAATTTAGTAAAAATAATAAATTACTCAAATATTGTAGAATGACTACACATCAGTCTCATATTCCTTAGGAGTTATTGATAAAGTCTAAAAAATTAAATTTTCTAATGAGATAACCACTTCTGATTTACCTTTGGACAATTCCCATGATTGTTCATTTTTGTTTGTTTGTTTGTTTTTGGTACCAAGGATTAAACTCAAAGGTGCTTAACCACAGAACCACATTTCCAGTCCCCAAAATTGTCCAATTATGAAAATTGTTCTGTTATTTCCATATTTTGGGTCACAGGATATATAAAACATTTACTCTAAATACTCTCCTACCCTGTAATTTATTGCTCATATTTAACTAATAGTTGGAGGTCCTGTGAATATTCTGTAACTATAGAAACAGTAATATCCAACACCTTTGACCACTGTCTATTCAAAGGTGTTCTTGAGAACTTTAGGTTGGCACTAATCTGTGATGTGTCAGATTTTCTCTGGGAGGTTTCTGATGAACCAAACTCCATGAGATCCTTTGACAATCTTCAGGACTTGAATGACACCTCTGTGTTTCTGTCCTCTGGCTGTCTTGTGTTGCGCAATATTAAAATCAGTTTTGATCATGCCCTGATTCCTTTTGAAGTTTTCTAAACTTCCTGACATTCAATGTTTTAAAATTCAGGTCTCCTCTCAGAGTACCTCTCTCTCTTAAAGTGCTCAGATGTGCCTTGAGCGTAACCACCTCATTGCATTTCTCTCCTACAGGAAATTCCAGACCCCAGCCGGCTGCCACTGGTGGCGAGTTGGAAGACCTACCCTCTCTTCTTTGGAACAGCCATTTTTTCGTTTGAAAGCATCGGTGTGGTAAGGTTTGAATGGGGTGATCTTTCCCTGGCTCTGTGAGCTCTGGGTTTTGGTGCCCTGTTGACCATTATGTGGGGCCTGATAGAAAATACACATGGGAGAGCATAACCTCTGGCCTCATCTGGGTGACTTGTGACCAGCAGAAAAAAAATCAAATTACAACACTCAGGCAGTTAGGTGACAAGTATTATTTTTGTCTCAGTAAGTCTACTAAACATTTCTCTTCCTATCAACAGAAGTTTCCTAATCTTTCAAAAATCAAGACTAATAGTGACAAACAATTTAAAGGATTTGATTAAATTTAAAGGAGTTTCCTGAAAAGAACTGTATATTTATAGTGACTTATTATATAGTCTCTACTTCCACATCTGAGGAAGGGTAGTGCTGTTCACATATTTTTTAATTTACTTTTTCATTTGCATACAGCAAAATTCACTCTTGAGAGGTACAAGATTCCAGCAAGTTTTCAAAAATGCATAGTCATAGATGTCTGACATCAGAACACAGAACAATTCTGTCACACACAAAACTCCCTTTACTGTCCCTTTTTATCAACTCCCACCCCATGCCACTAACTCTGATACCACCTTCCATTCTCTGCCTCGATTATTTTACCTTTCGCAGAATGTCATATAAATGGGATCATGCAGTATGTAACCCCTTGAGACTGGTTTCTTCCACCCAGCCTAATGTCCCATCCATGGTGACACACATATCCATCCATACTCCTGGCTGTCAGTGCAGAGCAGCCACTGTGTGGGCAGTACCACCTTTTATCTACTTACCAGTTGAGGAGTGTTTCCGTTTTTTCTAGTTTATGGCAATTGTGAATAATGCTCTGATAAGCTTTTGTGTGAATATAAGTTTTTATTTCTCCAGGAGTAGGTTTTCTAGGTCACATATTAATATATCTCTAACTTGAGAAGTTGCCCAACTGTTGTTAGAATGGCTGTTCCATTTTTCATTTCCAACACAGTAGAGGAGCTTTCTAGTTGTTCTGTATCTGTGCTAGCACTTGTGTGTATTGTCAGTATTTTTTTTTTTCAGGGCTAGGGATTGAACACAGGGCCTCATGCACACACACACACTACCACTATTCCCAGCCCTGCTATATTTTTTATTTCTGCCATTCTGATAGTTGTGTAGTGGTATCTGATTAAGATTTAATTTGCATTTACTATTGACTAGTGATTCTGAGCATCATTTTGTGTGTTTATTTGGCATCTGTATACCTTTTTTGGTGAAGTATCTGTTCAAATCTTTTGTAAAAAATTTTTATACTGAGCTGTTGTTTACTTATTATTAAGAGTTCTCTAGGCATTCCAAACACAAATCCTTAATTGATTATGTAATTTTAAAATATCATTTCTAGTCTGCAGCTTGTCCTTTCAGTCTCTTTTATGGAACAAAAGTTTTTAATTTTGATAAGGTCAAATATATAAAAAATTTGCTTTTATGGATCTTGGGTGTTGTCTCTAAAAATATTTTTCCTAACCCAAGCTCATAGATATATTCTTCTAAATGTTTTATAGTTTTCATTGTATAGTTAGATGTATGATCTGCTCTTGAGTTAATTTTCAAGTTGTTAATAGGTCGAAGTTTATTTTTTAAAACAGGCTGCCCCTTGTTTCTGTATCATTTGTTGAAGAGACTCTGTCTTGAGTTGCTTTGCATTCTATATGAAGTTGATTGGTACATGTGTATGGGTCAGTTTCTGAATTTCCTATACTGATTCACTGTTGTGTCTATAACAAGCTGTACTGATAACAGATGCTTTGTTTTTAAACTAGTGGTTTTGAATGCCTCAACTTTCTTTTGATTAGTGTGTATGTGCTGTATATTTTTTCCATCCTTTTAATTTTTTTTATTGAGATAACTTACATAACATAAATTTCATCATTTTAATGCAAGCAGTCTGATAGCTTTCACAATATTATACAATCATAACCACTAATTCCAGAACATTTTGGTCACCTGAAAAAAAAAAAAAAAGAGACCCATTATGCACTCACTCTCTCCATTCTTCTGATGCAAGCCGGCTTTCTATCCCTGTGCCTTTGCTTGGTTCAGATATTTCATGTAAATAGAATCATAGAGTATGTTTCCTTTTGTGGGTAGGTTCCCTGTCGCATTCCATAACTAAAACACTCAGGGTCACTCCAGGTGAACTTGCCTGCATGAAATAATCACACAAGAGACAGAGATACCTTTTTCTTTGGGTTCTGTGATGGCTCCTCTGACCCCAGAGAGCTCACTTACTGAACCCTTTTATTGGGGAGAAGCCATTCAATGAGGCAAGGGGTCAGGTTTCAGGGGGTTGAGTCTAGCTTCATGATGTCTGCTGTCAGCAGGTTGACTGACATCTAGGATGACCCCACCCAAAAGCAGAGCAAGAGAAGTGGACATACAAAGGGAGCTTCCATGGAACATTCTATCCCAAACAGGGCAAAGGGGTAGGATCACAAAGGAATAGGTGAGTGTAACTCAACCCCAGGGGTATGCCTACTCAGAAGACTGGCCTTGCTATTCGAGCAGGGGAAAAGACCGAGTCCAGAATACAGTGATCTTTCAGATCCCAATGGTGCATCAGGACTGGAAGGCGGTGTACCTCAATGTGACTCCCCACAGTTTCCCACTTAGCAATGTTTTCAAGGTTCATACCTGTTAGTGTTGGTGTCAGCAATTAAGACCTTTATATGGGTTAATAATTTTCCATTGTATGCATCTAAAGCATTTTGTTTATCCATTTGTTTTGATGGACTTTGAGGTTTATTCCATTTTCTAGCTATTGTAAGCAATAGTCCTAGGAGAATTCATGCGTATATTTTTGTCTGAGCAACTGTTTTCAGTTCTTTTGGGTAAACACCCAGAGTGAGAAAGCTGGGTCATATGGCAATTCTGTTCAACATTTTAAGGAGCCATTTTCAACAGTGGCTGCACCATTTACTTTGATTCCACCAACAAACATTAAGGGTTCCAGTTTCCCCATATCTTTGCTAACACTTCTTATTTTTCTTGTTGTATTGATTTAATTTGGAGTTTTTTGTTTGTTTATTTTATTTTTTTGTACATTCTAGAAGGTACGAAGCAGTAGCTCATTGTGGTTTTGCTTTGCATTTCCCTAATGACTAATGACATTGAATATCTTTTCATGTGCTTCCTGGCTATTTCTTTATATTCTTTGAAGAAATGTCTATTCAGGTCCTTTGCCCATTTTTAGTTGGGCTATCTTGTTAAATTTAAATTCATTTGTGACATATAGGAAAACAAATTTGTACCTATTTATGGAGTTCCATATGATGTTTTGAATTGTCTTTTTGCCACTGAGTTTTTAAGAGTTCTTTAATATATTCTGAATTGTAGATCCTTATCATATAAATGGTTGCAAATATTTTTCTTATTCTGTGGGTTATCTTTTCACTTTTTAAAATAGTATCTTTAACGCAAAAAAGTTTTTAATTTTGATGAAGTCTGATTTATCTTTTTTTTTCTTGCTTTTGCTTTTGGTGTCATACCCAAGATTACATTGCCAAATCCAAGATCATGAAAACCTACCCTAATGTTTTCTTCTAAGAGTTTTATAATTTTACTGCTTATAATTTTCATAAGGTATGTGGTGACTTTGTTCTTTATATATGGTTATCCAGTTGTCTCATCACAATTTATTGAAAGTAACATTCTTTCCTCATAGAAGAGTTTTGGTAATCTTTTTAAAAATCATGGATCATATGAGTTTATTTCTGGATTCTTGACTCTATTCCATTATAGGAATGGAATATATCTGTCCTTATACTAAAAAATCACACAATTTTGATTGGTTTAGATTTTATAGTAATTTTGAAATTCCTCCAACTTTAAAGTACATTGCTGCCAAAAAGGCAGTTGGAATTTTAGCGGGAATTTTATTGAGTCTTTATGCCATCTTAGCAGCATTAAGTCTTGCAGTGATGAACATGGGATGTCTTCCCATTTATTTAGGTCTCCTTTAATTTCTAAAGACAAATTTTATTGTTTTTAGCATATAAAAATCTTTCCATCTCCTAAATTAAATTATGTCCCTAAGCACTTTTTTTTAATGCTATTGTAAGTGGTTTTGTCTTTTTAATTTCCTTTTCAGATTGTTCATAGTATTTAAGGGGCAAAAATACAACTGACTTTTGTATGATTTTTGTATAATGCAACTTGTTTAGTACACAATAGTTGTGTGTGTTTGCGTGTGTGTGAATTTGGATGTTTTTTTTCTTGTCTAATTGCCTGGGCTAGAGTTTCTAGTACAATGCTATATAGAAGTGATGACAGCAAACATCCCCTTCTTATTCCTGATCTTAGGTGGAACACTTAGTTTGTTATCCAATATGATGTTAACTGTAGGTTTCTCTTGGATGCTTTTTATGGGGTTGAGGACGTCCCTTCTATTCCTTGTTTGATGAGTGTTTTTATTCTGAAACAATGCTGATTTTCTTTCAAGTTCTTTCTTGCATCCATTCAGGTGATCATGGCTTTTCTCCTCTTCATTCTATTACTATGACATATTACTTTAATTAATTTAATATATTGAACTGCCCTTACATTCCTGGGATACATTTCACTTGGTCATGGTACATAATACTTTTAGTGTGCTGCTCCATATAGTTTACTAGTATTTTATTTTATTTTACATAGTTTTATTGGTGCATTATGGTTGACATAATGGTGGGATTTGTTGTTACCTATTTGTACATGCATACAATATAACAATATAATTTGGTCAATATCATTCCTCAGTATTTTACCTTTCCTTCCTGGTTTACTAGTATTTTATTGAGGAACTTTATATCTGTATTCATAAGGAATATTGGTCTATAGGTTTCTTTTCTTATAAGTCCAGTCCTTTTTTTTGTATTTAAAGTGGAATTTTTAGAGACTGAATATAGTTCTTGTTTTTTAATTTACTTTGATCATCTTTATCTTTTATCAATATGGTTGGATCATTTTCAATTAGGGTAATTATGGTTGAATTT